TGTTTCATTAAATTATTTTATTACACTTCATTATATTTTAAAAAATAGTTAAATATCATATCAACATACATAAAAAAAAATCATTTAGTTTTTTTATTAAATAATTCTATATTATTATTAATTTATTTTTATTTGAAAAATTAATTTGTAAATATTATAATAATATTTTAGGAACAAAAGTATTTGAGTTATATAAGTTTAACAGTTATAATGGCTTCATGTAATTTTTTGTGATTATAGCGATAAACATACCTTTTATTTCCAAACACCTGAACAACTTATAAAAACTAAAAGTAACTTATAAGATTCATATCCAAACACCTAAAAAAATAATTTTTAAAATAAGATATAACAGCTTATCAGCTCCTAAAACATCTTATCAGATGTATGTGCTTATAATATGTTTTAAATAAGCTTAGCCAAACGGGCTCTTAGTTCATTAATATTTTTTTTATTATTATTTTAGGATACTTTCAACTCAAAATTATAATACAATATGAAAATATGAACATATCAACAAAAAAAAATACCATATGTTATTTAGTTAAATCCGTCGTTTTGACCAGTGGGTAGACGGGGCCACGGGCCGGTTTTGGGCCCGGAACCGGCCCGAACCGGCCCGTTGACGGCCCAAACCGGTCCGTTGACCGAGTGAACCGGCTCGGACCCGTGAACCGGCCCGTCCTACGCGGGACGGGCCCGGTTTTAAGAAATGGTGAAGCGTGAACCGCCGGGCCGGCCCGGCGATTCACCCGGTTTTAAAAAAAAAAAAAAAAAAAAAAAAAAAAAGCAAATAACAGCTAGTGAACCGGTCCGAACCGGCCGTTATTTATTTATTTTATTTGTTTTCCCCCCCAATTTTTCCTATAAATACCCTCACACCCCAATTTTGATTTTTTTTGAATTTTTTTTGCCCCCCAATTTTTCCTATAATACCCTCACACCCCAATTTTTCCTATAATTTACTTATTCATCAAATATTTCAAACTTGTGAAGCAAATTGACTTTTCATTTATTTCCTTTTCCCTTTTTGATTTAAAAGTACTTCTTTTAATTTACTTATTCATCACATATTTAAAAAAAAAAAAAAAAAATTCCGGGCCGACCCGGAACCGGCCCGCTGAACCGTCCATACTACGGGCCGGTTCTGGTTCCGGAAAATGTGAACCGTGAACCGGTTTGAACCGGCCCAGAACCGGCCCGTGGCCGTGTCTACCGGTGGGGCCTTGAATAAAATAAAAAATTAGTCTAAAGTTACTGTTTTGACCACGGGGTTAGCCCATTTCGAAAACACTTTCGAAAAGTGTGTTATTTTCAAGGAAAAAGTGTGCCAATTGTTCTAATTAAAAATAACTTCATCTCATTTTGCACCGTCAAAATGTGCTATTTTGGCGCTATTTTGGCGCTTTGCAACTCTAAGATAATTTATGACACTTTGCACCTTCGGATCATGTTTAATTATTCAAAGTGCACTATAGCCTAATTTTTCGGCCATAATTTTCGTCGTTGACTTATTTTTTAATTGTTAATAGGGTCATTTTTTCTCTTCTCCCTACAATTTGAAGTCATATAGAATTGAAATTAATATTTTGTACAATAAAATAAATTTTGAAAGAAAAGAAAGAAAAGGAAACATGTAAACTCCAAATCACTCTTCGTAGCTTAGATACATTTAGGATTCACAAATTTTATATGAATCGAGTTCGTCCCAATACTCACGCAATTTTGTAAAATAGTTTGCTACTGACATGGTCTCATGAACGTGTGAGGAGTTGGTGGGTTGTCTGCAAAGGTGCAGGAGTTGGTCGATAATTTGGATAATTTGAATGTTAGAAAAGATATTAATATGGCTCAAAGGCCATGTATACAGAACCTTGTGAAAATTGTTGACCAAATGAACCTTGATTTGAACAAAGAACTTAAGGATTTGAAAGTTTGTTGTTGGTGATTTTTTTATTTTAGTTATTATATGTAGATTAATTTAATGTAAATTTTGGAATTCTAAATATTGTTTTAATGGTGTGCAAGTTAAGGTTGACGATATTGTTGATACGCCAATTGATTTAGCTGCTTTGATTGATAAGAAGTTGGAGGAAATGAAGGTTGTTTCTGATGCCCGTTATCGTGAAAAACTTGCAGAACTCGAGAAGTGCTATGTTGAACTAAATGATCTTGTGGACAAGATCATTCAAAACTACTTTCCTAATTACCAAGATGACGAAGATGCTGAGAGTTTGGTAATACTTCATTATGAACTTTATTCTTGTTTGTTACTGTTCTTTTGATGCTGAGATGTGTTCTAATATTTGTTTTCTTGATTTGTAGGATTAAAAAATGATGTTACTACTGCTGATGATTTTTGTTATTACCACTTGCTTGATTGACAAGAAGTTGGAGGAAATGAAGGCTGTTTCTGATGCCCGTTATAGTGAGATTAGTGAGGAACTTGCAGAACTCGAGAAGTGTTATATTGAACTAAATGATCTTGTGGACAAGATCAATCAAAACTACTTTCCTAATTATCAAGATGACGAAGATGCTGAGAGTTTGGTAATACTTCATTATGAACTTTATTTTTGTTTGTTACTCTTCTTTTGATGCTGAGATGTTTTCTTGATTTGTAGGATTAAAAAATGATGTTACTAATGCTGATGATTTTTGTTATTACCACTTGCTTGATTGACCTTGAATAATTTTGAACTTTGTTTTTTTGGTGTATTCAAGTAAGTTGTTGCACTCAATTCAATTTTCTAAATCCAAGCAAACATAATTCATCATCCAAAAGGCGAAACTACAAGGATTTAGAAAATTGAATTGAGTGCAAGGGCCAAGGATCAAAGTTGATGGAATCATTTGTATTCCGAATACAAACATGAAACATGATCAAACATACACTGATAATGAAGAAATGATTCATTGCTTTTACATGAGTTGGTAACTAGTTGATTCGTGAATATTAAATTTTACCATTGTCTTTCACCGTGATTCAAGTTTACAAAGTTTATTATTATTTTTTTAAGGTTCACGGTGTGTTGATGGCTTCAAATATTAACTTACGGTGATCAACTTTGATGGAACTCATTTGTATACCTAATACAAACATAAGATGTTGTTTGTCGTGTGTCTAGATGAAAATCAACACCTTTTTGTCACTCACATATTATATTCTTGACGGAGAAACGACCGGTGTATGAAAGTGTTTTTTTTTCAAGTGCATCGACATGCATATATTTTCGACAGTATGCATAGTATGTGCACCAATTTTAGATTGAGGTACTGGAATTTTAGGTGTGCTATTGACCTTGTTGAGTGATTTTTAAACATATTTATTCCATTATTGTACTTAGTTCATTAATATTTTTGTATTATTATTTGGGATACTTTCAACTCAAAATTATAATACAATATGAAAATATGTACACATCAACAAAAAAATGAAAATAACATGTGCTATTTAGTAAAGTTCGTCGTTTTGACCAGTGGACCTTGAATTCAAAAAAAAAAAAAATAGTCCAGAGTTACTGTTTTTACTACAGGGTTAGTCCATTTCCAAAACACTTTCAAAAAGTGTGTTATTTTCAAGGAAAAAATGTGCCAATTGTTCTAATTAAAAATGACTTTATTTCATTTTGCACCCTCAAAGAAGATATTAACACCTCCTTCTATTTGGTAAATTTTTGAAATTTGCTCAAGGCTTTTAGTTTTATATTATTAACATTTAATTAGTTTTTCTTCTTAAATTTTGAGTTTAATAGTTTTCACATTTATTGATCTCTTCGAAGATAAATCAAAGTCGAGATAATTAATAAACTCTCAAATCATGTACTTAAAGTATTGTTTTTTTCCTTTTTTTCACTCTCGGAAAAATCATTTGACTCTTTTGCACCGTTGAAAATACATTTGTAGTGTTAGTCTTGCACCCTGGAGAAAAGGCTAATTGAAAAGACACAAATGTCCCTAATGGCGATCATAAATAAGTCAACTACAACAATTTTGGCCGAAAAACAAATTATGGTGCAATTTGAATGATTAAACATGTTTTAATGGTGCAAAGTATTATAACTTATTTTGGTGGGTGCAAAGTAGCAAAATTGTACATTTCAATGGTACAAAATGGAATTAAACCTTAAAAATTAACCCATAAAATATATTTTTTAAACTATATATAACTTGGTGTCGCTTATGAATAGTACAACCACTTTACGGGGAAAAAAACGCAATGATGAATATTTTTTTTCCATTTATTTACATAATTAAATGATAATCTTCAGATTGAGACCATACAAAATTGTTTCATTGTACGTCATGAATTTTGAAATAATCTAGTCGAAAAATAAAATCTAATCGAGCTTAAAATAAATATATAATTTGACATTCAGCCACCTCCGGACAAATTGCAACCAATACTCAAATAAATAAATGAAGTAAATAAATGAAAGTAACAATTGCAACCATACTCAAATACATGTAGCCGAAATGAACAAATAATTACTAATTAGACATTCAAACAATATTTAATTTTGTTTTTTCTGTCGATGGGCATATCAAAGTAAAACTGTACCGTGGAAGAAAACAAAAAAAAAGAAAAAAAAAAAAAAAAAAAATCAAAAGACCCACATTGAAATTATCGTTTCTATCCGGCAAATAAAAATATATTAAATTCTAACAATGAAAAATCATTATAATGGGAGTTTCAGGTGGATAAATTAAAGTGAACTTATTCCTTTTTTTTTCTTTTTTGAAAATAAGTGAAACCCTCAAATAAGTGAACTTATTCCTAAGCCTTCCTTAAATGACAAAATTATCCTTCTTAAATCTTAAGTACTCCATTTAGCCAAAAATTCTACTATTGGGGCAATGTGCGACGAATTTTGTATTTTGAAGGGGTGTTTTTTGTTTTTATCTTTTTAGGGGGGCTTAGTGGAAACCCTCAATTTTTAGAGGCGTGAAGTGATATTTACCCTTTTTCTTAATTGTCAATTACCAGTTCCCAAATCGGCAAATCCCAACCCTTGCCAATTCTCATCCTCCGCCTCCACCTCCACCGCCGCTTGCCGTCGTCAACACCACCGCTCCACTCAACCGCCGTCAATAACACCGCTCCACCCCCTTCGCCACGACAGGTCTCTCTCTCTCTCTCTGGTGGGGAAAAAAACGCAAAAAACAACTACGAATATTAATATACCAATACCAAAATTGAATTAGAAAATAATATTTCACTCCTGGTGGATTTTGGCTGTACTACTCTTTTACATTTTTCTTTTGCTTTGTGTCGTTAGACTTAGAAGTGTGTGTGTGTGTGTGTGTGTGTGTGTGTGTGTGTGTGTGTGTGTGTGTCAAATGTGTCTGTATATGTGTGTGCCTAAAGTGTGTGTGAGTGTGTGTATATGCGTGTGTCAAATTAACCCATGATTTATATATATAAACTATATATAACTAGGTGTCTGCGTAGCATTGATTAGTATGATCCCTTTTGCGGGAGAATAATCACAATGATCAATATGTTTGTTCATTTATTTAGATAATTAATTAATAATATTCATTTTGGGGGCCATATAAAATTGTTTAATCTTCCATTGACCCAACGATATGAATTTTTAGATAATTTAGTCAAAAAAATGAAACCTAATCGAGCTCTTAACAAATATACAGGTAAAATCCGTAATTTCTAGGGCACCAATTTCAAGCTTCCATGGACGACCTCACAGCTTACTATGCTCCTCCAATCCACCACCCTTATTACCAGCCACCACCGCCGCCGCCTCCGGGAACGGTACACCCGCCGCCGATTGCCGTCGTCGATCCGATTCACCTGCAACCCCAATACGTTGCCTACGCTCCGCCACTCTATCCCCAATCATCGCTTGACCAGGTTCGCACGCTCTTCGTCGCCGGCCTACCGGAGGACGTAAAACCGAGAGAAATTTACCATCTTTTCCGTGAATGCCCCGGTTACGAAACTTCTAATCTCAGACCCCCTACCTCATCTAATAATCAGGTATGCACATAAAAAAATTATGGATAATGTATATTTTATATGAGTGTGTTTTCGTAAGCTTAAATTGATTAGTTTCCTTTTTGTTTTATGGTATAATAAAGAAGGGATTTTTGTAAGTAGTAGTGAAATGAAGTTGTATAATCGAAATTTTCTAGTGTTTGGTGTTATTGTATGAGGTCGAATGAACGATCATTGTCGAATTAGGGTGTAATTTTCTGGTTCTCAGTTGATTTAGTGGAGTGGAATTGAGTGTACATTAAAAGAAGGAAATGGAACGATATAAAACGATCAGAAGTTACTATGATTAATGATGTTTTACATACGTCTGAATGTATGTATATACATGGTTTATAGAACAACTAGATTTGTGACTGAGCATCTTTATGCTGGCATTATTGATGCGATTATTTAACTTAAAAGTTTTGATAGGTTTATTAAAAATCATCTGAAGTTGCATCTACTAGGTCGGGCTCTTTCGTTTGATTGGTAGGGGGGCTAGCAAGATCGAATCATCCCTTTGCCTAATTTTACGTTGCTTAGTGTTTGTATATATAGAATAGCCCATCTCTTAACTTTGAATTATCAGCATACAGAAGATGTATGATATTTTCTTGAACCTTGAGTTGTATGTTTTGTGCTTTCGTGTACTTTCTTTCGTCGAAAAGGCGTTCTGACGCTTACATCCTGTTTCTCCAGCCGTTTGCTTTTGCAACTTTTGTGGATCAACAATCGGCAGTCATGGCCTTGCATGCAATAAACGTAAGATCCTCTGATACGTCCTTACAATATTTTTACTGCGCATATTTTTGTCGGAACGATGTTTGTACATTTATGTATGAAGATTAATGTTTCTTTTTGGGCAGTAATTTTTTGATGAAAGCAGTTAAAATAAAAACCGACCATTGGATCATGGTTGGTTGTCTCTTTATTAGGGTCATATTATCTATAGGTGCAATTCGCTTTCACAAAGCATCATCAAGCAGTGATATGTCATCTAGAAAATTCCGAATTCTATATTATGATGAGTTGTATAATTTATTACACTGTATAAGCACCATACTTAGTAAGACTTTATTTTTTATACTTTTTTGTTGCCCTGATCAGGGGATGGTGTTTGACCTTGAAAAAGGGTCTACTTTGCACATCGATCTTGCGAAATCTAATTCCAGGTCAAAGCGCTCTCGAGCAGGTAGATCACCACTCGAATCATTTTTTTCCCTTATGCGCCTCGTTTTGCAATAATCACATGGAATTAATATAATCCTCAATCAGATGACGATAGTCAAGGTTCAGAAAAAAGGCAAAAGGGATCTGCAGGCTTTTCAAGGAACGATGATCCTGGTAAGATATGCGCTCTACTTTAATTATGCAATGTATTTATGTCGCCACTTTGAGGTTGGAAATTATACGTTTTCGCCTGTTAGGTCCGGTTCTTTTTTGTTTTTTAAAACTCGGTGTTTCTGGTTGAATGAAATGTTTTTCTAATCTCGTTTGAGGCTGTAGCTAGTTAATAATCACATGGAGTGATACATTATTCAAAGAGCTCACACTGCACATTTATTTGCACGCTTGGGCACCAGCAGGTGTTGGCAGGGTTCACACGCACACGCCTGGAATCGTTAATTCTTCTTACAGCACAGTTGGTTATTCTCCCACACAAAGGTCGTTTGCGCACTACCTATGCACATTTTATTCTAACCAAAACTGATTACTTCAGTACGCCCTTAAATTACAATTTGAATTATCCTCTAATGCAAAGATCGTGGGCTAAGGAGAAGCACTATGCACTAGCAACTTGCTCTTCACGTGAAGTTAGAATACTTTTGTTAGTTTAATGTGGCAATAAACGAGTGAAACTTCTAATATTTTATTTTTTGCATGATCCAGTCAGCGGAGTGTTGATGGTGGTGGATCGATGAGTAGGGTTTCTTCAAAGTCGGTAAAGTCTACTACCCAATTGTCGGAGCTTATTTTCTTGAAATAATCTCCTTCACTATAGATTGGTTATTTGCAATGCATGCTAACAGAAAGAAACGACTTTTTTTTCCAAACCCCCAAAGAATCGACTGTTTGCTTTTATCTTTGCTTAGAAGTCTATTAAGGGCTTTTGCAATGCATGTTTTTATCACATTTGACTCGTTAGTTTCCAGGTTGACATTCTTTATTGAAAAATTACTATGATGTTAATTATGAAAGTGACCATCTAAACTCGAGTTTTCAATTAGTATTGATTGTAACACAACCGAAAAGTTTTTTTTCATCTAGAAACTTCTATCCTATGTTTGTGTGGCTGTATTGATTCCAAGGTTGACTAAATGTTTTCCCTCTCACCTCTGAATGCAGAACAGCGGTCCATGTCCGACACTCTTTGTGGCTAATCTTGGTCCAACCTGCAACGAGGAAGAGCTGATGCACGTGTTTTCGAGGTATCTAAAAGGGCATCTTGTCTTTTTTTCTAATTAATTTTTTTTTTTTATCAGATAGGAATTTGACTGGACTTTAACAAACGTTTTACTTCTTTGGACTCTTCCGATAGATGCCGTGGATTTTTAAAACTGAAGATGCAAGGCACCTATGGAGCTCCTGTTGCATTTGTCGACTTTCAGGTACAATTAGAATCATTAAAGAGAGTAATATATTTATTAAAATAAAAAATCCATTTTTTTTTCATTTTTTATTATGCGTCAGATACTTTCATTTCATCATATATCTGCATTCTTTACTAAATACACTCAGGATACTGCCAGTTCAACTGAGGCTCTAAGGGATCTACAAGGCACATTTCTCTATTCCTCAACATCCGGTGAAGGGATGCGTCTCGAGTATCCTTTTTTACCTAATTACTTATCTGCACTTCTTTTTTTTAGTTTACGATGTTTGTTTCGTGTTTTTTTTTTGTTGAATTCGAACTGTTATCTTAACTAGAATTTAGATTTGCGAAATCCCGGATGGGAATGCGAAGTAAGAAGTCCAGGTAAAAAGAAAAACAAAACGATATATAATACCGAGCGAAAAACGAAAAAGGTGGTGAGATAGAATATAGTTGGCTTGATTTAGTAGCTCCAGTATGTAATTTGTAGCATCACTTACATTAAACCAAAAGACTAACAGATCTTGTGTTGGTTTTTTTATTTTTTATTTATCTGTTGTGATGTAGATGAGGTTAGAAAAACGTGCTAGTATTTGAAAGATTCAGACACCAGAAATCTTAAACGTGACAAATTATAGTATTTAATTTTACTTTTTTTAATTTTTTTTTAAAATGGTACTATGTTTCTAATTTGATATTTCCATTGAAGTCAACGAAGTTGACATCATCGTCTTTGAAAACATGAACTAGGATACATCGAATCTATCGAAGTGAGACGAAAATAAGAAAGGGGGTTGGATGGGGATGGGGTGTTGTTTTCTGCACCCACTATTTTGACTTTTTTTTTTTGTTTTCTGAATACTGTACATTGTTGTGAAACAGGCCTGAATTTACTTTAAGCTAATTGAGAATTAGTGAAGTGTTAACGTTTTTTTGGCTAATTTTATCTTGAAAGCCACACGAGGCTTACGGGGAAAATCAAAATCAGGTTATACACTAATACGGAAAAACATACCATAACGCCTCTCAATTATATTAAAAAGGGAAGAACACAAAAACTCGAACAACGAAAGCACACTCGCAACATTCTAAACCATAAATTGTAACCAAGAAATTATGGAATCGAACGGCATTAAAATGGAAGATTGTACAGTAGAAGAACCTAATGTGAGTTATGTATTAGTGATTGCGAGTTTGCGACGGCGACGAGTGATATATACCGAAAGGGTTGGCCGGTGGCGGCGATGGGGAGGTTTTTTGCTTTTAGTTTGCAAATAGTCGACCCCTATTTAAAATGGTAAATCGACGAAACATTTCGGATTACTAAAAGAAATATTGTTTTTCAAATGTTATAAATTTTGCTTCGAAAAAGAAGTGGCCAAGTTCAATGTCGATCTCCATTATTGGAATATAATCAGATCCAACTGTTTTGTTTTGTTGTTTTGTCGATGCTAAGTTTGTTAGATTTTATTTTCAAATTCCAACCATAGTTCTTATCTTAAATATGGGGACCAATTGTTTTTAAAATTCAAATTATGTTACAAATTTGATGTTTATATGAAAAAAAAAAAAAAAAAATAGTTATATTGAGGTCAATTGCAGTTGATTATTCAAAACTCAACACTACACGGTTTTGTCCGGGGCAAAAATAATTTATATAGTAATTTAAAAAAAAAAAAAAATTGAGGGGGCAATGGCCCCCCTATCCTTACACTGACTTCCTTAACTGAAATTGAACTAATTAAATTACTAATTATCCGATAGAAAATAAAATAAAGACATGGATAAAACTTCCTACCCTCTCAAAACGTACTTCACATGAAAATCCGACCACATAAAAAAAAAAAAAAAAGTGGACGATCTTGTTTGATACTAATTAATTCATTGACGTATTCTATAAAACACATATAAGATGGTTTCTCACGTAACTAAAAAATTCAATAATTATCACAATTATTTTTCTATATTAAAAGACAAAAATAAATAAATAAATAAATAATAAATTGCATCACTGAAAACACACACGCACAAAGAAAGCAAAGGCAGCTAATTTCATAAAAATAGTTAATTGTTGGAGTGGAGGGGTCGACAAAGTCAAGTCACAACCGTATCTATCTGTCCCACACCGACCACCGACCTACTCTCCTATTTTTTTTCTTCCAATATTCTTTATTGAAAAGAAAACGAAAGAATAATTAATCATTATAATAATTCATTTTTGGGTAAATTACGAAAATCCCCCAGAACTTAGGCTAAATAACGAAAAATACTAGCACCTATCCGTAATAACAAAAGCCCCCATCTAATTAACTTTCTGTTAAATATGTGAGAAGTAAAGAAAATAACTGAAATTGTTTAAGTCTATTCTCTGGAATTAAAAAAAAAAATCCGTAAAAAGTCAAACTGTAAGGAGGTTGATGTAAGACGGAAACAAACCTCAGAGGGTTTTTGATAATTACAAATAGGAGAGGTATTTTGTTATTTAGCCTAAGTTCAGGAGATTTCGTAATTTACCCTCATTTTCCCCCCTATCTCACTGAAAGTTCATCTGCTTCTAGAATTAGTCGGGTGAAACTCGAAATTCGAGTTATAGAAAGAAAACAAAATGCCACTCAACTTTCATTTTACATTCAATCAAATATATACCATGTGCCGAAAAAGTATCCTTTTGAAGATTTTTATTATCTGAAGTATTTGTTACTTTACAATTTCGATAATGCATCAGACATACTTTTCTCAATTTTGTCATTTAACACTCTTTAAGGAAAATTCAAAAAAAAAGATTCGAAAAATTGCATCACTGTAATTTAAAAAATAACAATTATAATATTTATTTTTTTAAAATGAAAAATAATTTGAAACAGTTCAATATTAATATGATATTATTTGTATCATAATAATAAAACAAAAGGTCTTGCAATTTAGGAAGAATAGTGGGGCGAGTGGAAAAAAAAAAAAAAAGAATAAGAAACACACGTGTCAGCAAGCTATTGGCCATGCCATTATCATAACATGGCGGCCGACCCTATTATTTTCTTCCCTAAAGAAAAGGGAAGAAAATTAGAGGGCTGACGCTGTAAATACAAATATATATAATATATATATATATAGCTTCAACAAAGTTTATATATATATATAAGATATTATTGCAGAGTCTAGAGAGAGAAACAAGCGTAGTGGTGTACGTGTCGGTGGAATTAGAATTTGCTTATAAAAACTTTCTTTTAAGGTCAAAAAATTCAATATGGGCTTTTTGCCCAGATGACAAGAACTTCACTTCTCCTTAAGAGAGAGAAAATTTTGTTTTTTTCAGAGAGTTAGAGAGAGAGAATGGACGGCGGCGGCGGCGGCGGCGCTACTGCAGTCATCGCCGGCGGAGCCAGGGCTGTGACCCGGAGGAGGAGCGACAAGCCGTACAAGGGCATACGGATGCGTAAGTGGGGGAAGTGGGTGGCGGAGATTCGGGAGCCCAACAAGCGATCCAGAATCTGGCTCGGATCCTACTCCACCGCCGTGGCGGCGGCCCGAGCCTACGACACCGCCGTGTACTACCTCCGCGGCCCGACGGCGAAGCTCAACTTCCCCGACGAAATCTCCGCCGGCGGACTGAACGACCTCTCCGCCGCCTCGATAAGGAAGAGGGCGGCGGAGGTCGGCGCCAGGGTGGACGCCCTCCAGGCCAACGGCGGCGACGGCCTGCCGGTGAAACCCTCTTCGTTTCAAGATGAGATTGATCTCAATAAAAAGCCCGAACCCGAATCCGAGGGCCCGAACCTCGAATATTGGTGAATATATTTTTTCTTTTTTAATTAATTATAAAATTACGTTGTAGTTTCTTTAATTTAAGAAACTCTTATGTGAGGGGTATAATGGTAAACATGCACCTCGTAGTTAATTTGATCTTAGGTTTTCACCCCTTATATATATAAAAATATATATATTTTTTTTTTATTTGTAAGTTTATTTTTGTAGTGTTTTTCTTTTGTTGGATAGAACAGTTTTGTCGTTGGGAACTTGGGATGATCCGTTAATGTAAAAGAATTATTGATTATGTAAATATTAATTAGCTTTTAATTAATTGTTTTTCTTTTTTTGTTATATATATATAATATTCTTGTTGAGAATTAGGATGTTTACATGTGATAATGTCCCCTAGCGTTAATGATCACTGATTGGTGGGCCGTGGAACCAAGTGGTGGTGGTGGTGGTGGTCGGCGGCGGAGCGTGGTGGTGGTGGTGGTGGGAGAAGGGGCGGGGGACAGCGGTGGGCCCCACCATTGGTCGAGTTTGCTGCAAGTGGATGTTTGCTGACTCGAAATAAGTGATAGGGTTTGGGTTTTTTTTATTAGTTTTTAATTTTTTAATTTTTAAATTTATTTTTTGTATCTTACATTATTTGACGATGGCGGCCGGCAAGAATTGTATTCGCCGCCGCACAAAACAGCCACGGAGGGGGGGGGGGGTGGCGGGGGGCCGGCCATACCATACAATTATATTAAATCCATATATAAATTGTCACAAAATATTAAATGACTCAAATTGTTCTTTCGGAATATTTATTAAAAGAGAAAAATTAAAAAAAAAAAATCATGCCTTCTTGATTTGTCTAGATTCGAACAATCGAGCTCGAATTCACAACCATTTGATTTTCATTTTGCTAAATGACTCGAATTGTTTGTTTTACAATAAACATTATATCGAAAGAAATTATTATTTAAGCAAGATTGATAATTTATCGAATTCTGTTGTATGAATATATCTTTATATAAGCATATGATTAGTGTTGGCACGTGTACAATTTATACCGTACACACTACATGAATTGGAATGTATAACTTCATCCTTTTAGTTTTATTTTCCCCCACACATTTCAAACATATAACTTTCAATTCAAAATTTATACACAAACAACCCAATTGATATGCTTATTATTACATCCTAATATGCTTAAAACATCTAATTAAACGTAAGAATTTATCAGATATTTAAAAATAAGCTTAGCCAAACACCCAGTTAATAGAATATCTATTAAGTTAAGGATGTGTGTCTATTGTGGTCCTTAATCTTAATTTAGAGGTACTCTTTAACAATTAGGTGTAATTCCAATTACATCTATCGCATTTTTTATTTTTATTTTTTGGGTAAATTACTACCATCCCATGAGGTATGGTGAATTTACGAAAAACCCTCTTTTGTTTGGATAATTACATCTACCCCTCAACTATATTTTTTTCTTACATCTCCATCTTTATGGTGTCAAATTAAACATAATCATCTAGATTTCGTGGAATGTGCTCTTGTTTGAACTCGTTTTGTGCAAAAATACATTTTCTGATGCACCACAATCTGGTATATACAAGCCAAAAAACACATATTATGATCATCTTGCTTCAAAATATGAAGTTCGAATGGGATAAAACAGGTACAAAAGTGATAATATTCCATATAATCTCCACTAAAATTTAAAACCGTAATGATGAACGTGTAAGAAGATTTATATTTGAGGGGTGGCTGTAATTACCCAAACAAGAGGAGGGGTTTTGTAATTTAACCATACCTCAGGGGTGGTTGAAATATACCCTTATTTTTTTAAGGAAAAAATAAAAGTGTTCTTATATAATTAATTTTTGTATTTTATTTTTTGTAACTAAAGATCCATAGCATATAAGCCCAGGTCACGTGTTTGGATTTGGGGATCCTTAACACACAAGCCCAGGTCACGTGTTTAAATTTGGGCCCAATTACTGCGCATAAGTTACAGGCCCAATAAAACATATTTCGCTTCAAAAGGCAACTAGGGAATTTTCTATATCAGGTGAAACATTTATCCATCAAATATTCTATTTTTTTATATATATAAAAAATCAAATATTTAATAATTATTTTATCCTACACCCTTTGGAATTATCTCAAGAAATATATTCTTCTTGTTCTTGTTGGTATTGTAAGTGCCATTTGTAAAATGATTATTCCGAATTGGATCATAATTTTACAACTCACCGTGAAATTCAAATTTACTCGTATAGATATAAGGTTATTCCCCAAATCACAATATATATATAGATAATATTTAAAATATAATATAATATACTATTCTGCAACTTAAGCAACGTGGCCAAATTATCTCCACAAGAACGCCTGGTGAAACTCATTTCTCAGCTGCAACTTTTACATTTTATATTCCATTCTCCTTTTCTTTTCTTTTATTTGATTTTTATTATTATTATTTTTTTTATTGCTTTTATGTTCAATATATTTTAGAAGATAAACTTCCAACTGTACATCCAACAATGTTTGTTAATTAATTGTTTTCATAGAGGTTTTTGCCAATAGAAAATAGGGCAAATTTGCTAAACAACCTCGAACATCAATACTATTTCAAATCAAAATAATTATTTTTTATATTTCGGTAAAAGGTTTACGAACAACTTAGTTTGAAAATACATTATTACTATCCAATATATATTTTTGTCATCAAAACCACGTCCACTCCAAATAATGACATATATTTCACTCGTCCGCCTCTCCCTATATTTCATATGCCGTCGATCGCCTAATTTCAGCCACAATATTACTGGAAAACAAATGTTATTCATTTAAAATGTTTATTGTCAGCTCAAATTTTCCAATTAAATCGTCAATTTTCAGTCTAATATGTCCAACTAATCTGCCCCGATAAAGTTTCATCAAACTCAAAATAATCGGGCATACTATTTGTTCTAAAAAAATATTTTTGAGTGAGCTTTAGCCAATTTTTACTAGAAAATAACAAGACTAGTTTTTTTACATAAAATAAATAAATATTTTGAATGTTGAGACTAATATATTAAAAAATATATATATCAATGGTCACTCATCTCTCCACACAGCTGTTGGATTTGAGACATATATATATATATATATATATATATATATATATATATATCAATGGTCCCCCCCCAGCCCCCATGGGAATGTACTAATTTGCCCTCTCTTTATCATTACCTGTACAAGTTGACAAAACATGAATGAATGAATGAATTGTTACTACAATACATAGGAAAAACAAGCAACATTATTATTATATTCACCTTAGATCTCTCTGCCACTTTTGCCTTTTTGTGAATTGGATGTTATTTAAATTAATAATTAAATTAAATAGAAAAATCTGACAACTTTAAAAAAAAGCTGAAACATGAGCAGTTTAATGTGTGAAGTGGTAGGGTTTAAAACACAATTGAGGTAAGAAAATGTTCATTCGAGGTTTTGGGACCATGTACTAATGTACGATATTATCTATGGGACCACCAATTTCAATTAATGTTTTTTTTATATATATAAAATATTTACGTAATTACATCAAAATATTAATTGGGCAGGTAATCTGATAATTAATTGGCATTTGGCTATTCATTAGAATAATAAAAATATATACAGGTTAATGCATGTTAAATAAAAAATCCCAAATTACGGTCACACCCCTGAAGTATGGCCAAATTACAAAAAACCCCTTCTTGTTTGTGTAATTACAACTACCCGATCATTTTAAATATTTTTACATAAAATTTATGTAATACAGGTTACTTACCAAACCAAATCGTATATTCAATCACATTTGCTACCTTCCCTAGGATCGGGCTTGTAAGTATCATGTTGTGGAGATAACCT